GCTCCATTTCTGGTGATCTGGATCCCGATGTCATCTTGATCGAGGATGATGGCCCTCGTTCAAGCTCTCTTTCATCTACTGAAGGTCTGAAGGCTTATCTAGAGCTCGTCACTAGAATGGCAACTGCCCTTCAAGTGAAAGGCACCACTGATACACCGGCGGTTACAGATGTGGTTCACAAATTAGCCCAGGCTGACTTGCCACCATCAACAATCCTGCCATTGCTCCCAGTTCACCTTTCTACTCTGAAAGAATCATGGGATCGTCCGGCTTCAGTACCTTCGTTATCGAAGAGATATGATCCCATCTATAAGATTTAAGTCTTCAGGCAAGTTTCTGTTTAATCATACCTCACCAAATTCAATGATAATTCATTCTTCCTCAAAGTCAAAGCAACCTAGGCAATCGATCCCTCTGGATCAGGAGGGTCGCAAGATCGACTCGATAGCTAAGAAAACCTACTCCATGGCTGCCATGAGTATTCGGATCGATATCTATCCTACCTCTCGGCATGCACTTTTAATGTTGCTAGTGATGTTCAGTCCTCGATACCGTACCAGAGGAGTGCAGGACCACGCTGTCTGCTGCTCTTTCAGAAATATGCACTATATCGAATAAGGATAATAGAGTTCAATAAGGATAATAGAGTTGGATTTTATGAGAAACCTATAGAGTGCGATAAGATATGGCTGGGAACAGATGAGAAATTGATTAAAAATATATATACTTTACTATTAGAAGAATATATGCAAGATGAAATTGTGAAAAGTTCAATGATTACTTGGATGAAAGACATAGGTCACAATATAGACGTAGATGACCGGGCAAAAATTTGGAAAGCTGTGAAATTTACAAGGGCTACCACATATAAAGAAAATATTTACAAAATGTTCCATAGATGGCACTGGTCGCCAGATAAAATTGTCAAACTTAATGAAAAATTATTGGAAATATAAGAAAAATGTGGGAACATACTTTCATATGTGGTGGAGATGTGGGAAAATTTATAAATTTTCAATTGAAATACAAAAGCTATTTCAAGAAATACTGGATATTAATTTACCTTTAAAACCAGAGTTTTTTCTATTAAATATATTACCAGATGGTTATAATAAATGTGACCTTTATATTATTATGTATGTATTGACAACAGCCAGAATTTTGTTAGCAAAGAATTGGAAACTGGATAAAATACCATCAAAGGAAGAGCTTATCCAGAGACTGTTTGGAGATGGCTGAGATGGCTAGACTAAGCAACTTACTTCAAGGAAAAGAGGACGAAAATCCCCTAAACTTTTGGGCAAGAGTGTATAAATGGATTCAAAAATGATTGAAAATTTTGACTTTCATGATTATTTGTTAATCTAAGTGGATTGTATGTATATTTTCTATATACAATAAATAAACATTAAAAAGAGAGATATGCACTATATCTAAACAACAGATTAATTCCATTAGACATGCTGTCAACTGTTTTTCCAAAGTTCTGGCTTCATCTATTGCCCTTCGCCGACATGCATAGCTTAGGAACACCACTCCAGGCAGATGTAAAATTCAAAACTAAGAATTTGCCTTTTGATGGTGAAGGCCTTTTCCATTCTACAACGGACGAAACCTTGAAGGCTGTTGATGATAGTAGGAAGAAAGCTAGAAAGCTCCGCAATGCCCTCGATATCAGCAATGAAAACCGTATTCTATCAATCGCCAGCCTTCCTCTGCAGCCACTTAGCAGTGGAGACATAGACCCTATGATTACCATAATGTCTTTCAAAAGTCCAATCCTCAACTGCCTAAGAAATCGCAACAGCCAAAACAGTCCGTTTGACCACCTCGATCTCCTGTCACTGCCTCCCCCTTTCACCCCTTCTGTAAGAACCTGACTCTTCCCCTTCTTTCCAACTTTCCCCACTCGAAGATCATAAGTTACAGGTAAGCAACCTGTTTTTATTACTAAAAGCCTATTTAGCAGCACCTAAGTATTGTACTCCAGTCAATAGCCCTAAGTTGAAACAAGAAATACACACACAGAACAGTGAAACACCCTCCTCCCCCCAAAAAACCAACCTTCTAGAAACTATAGGGAAGAAATACAGGGGTGAACTACTGGGGGGAAGGGTGGGGGAAAGGACTTAAGCAAAATTAACCAAAGCAGGAGAAAGCCCCCACCACCACCATCAGGCCCAAACAACAACAAAACTTCACAAAAATGCAAGCCTCAAAAAACCAGAATGAGTATAACTATGAATAAACCCAAAGAGAACCAAAAAAAGGCCTAATGTCTTGGCCTCAACCCCTACACACACAAAACCACCAAGCCCAACCAACGTAACAAAAAACTCCAAACTTAAGCCACAAAAACCAAAAGGAACTAAAACCTGAGAATAAAACCAAAGAGGGGACCAAAAAAGGCCTGAGGCTCACTCACCCCACACAACCAGTGGGGTGTTGAGCCAGTTTGGTGTAGTGGTTAAGTGTGTGAACTCTAATCTGGGAGAACCGGGTTTGATTCCCCACTCCTCCACTTGCACCTGCTGATGTGACCTTGGGTCAGTCACAAGCTCTGGCACAGCTGTCCTTGAAAAAGAGCAGTTTGTGTCAGAGTTCTCTCAGCCCCGCCCACCTCACAGGGTGTCTGTTGTGGGGAGGGGAAGGGAAAGGAGTTTGTAAGGCGCTCCAAGTGAAGGGCGGGGTATAAATCCAATCTCTTCTCTTCTAAAACCTAACCAAAGATAACCAAAAAACCCCACTCGAGGCCCTAGGCCTCACCCCCCCCCCCCATACTCCATAACCAACCCACCAAACCCAAAGAATAACAATAAAATAAGAAAACTGTTTTTAAAATGTTTAGTCAAACCAGTCACTGTCTTTAGTCTTCTTCAGGCAGGCAGGATCTGATGTGACGTTCACAGTCTCTCGGGCCGCAGGAATCAGGCTCAGAGCAGCAGCTGAAGCCAAAGCCAGCTACACACTCTCCAAACCCCTCTCAGCAATGAAGTCTAGCTCAGCCAGACCCTTGCTTTTATGCTCTTTGTCCATTCACAGAAGAATTTCCAAAAAGAACAAACATCTGTTCTTGGCTAAAGAGCAGTGTTTCCCTCTAACCTGCCAAACTGCCACTGCTCCTGTTCCCTGGGAAATGGGTGGGGAAAGCAAGGTAGTTAGCTGGACTTCACATTTGAAGCTGTCAACAACCTTGCAAAGTTGCAAAGCTGCAATGCAGTGCTGCTCTGCGGTGGCTCACCTTGTTTCTCCACGGATGGGGGCAGAGGGTGGTGATTGGGGACAGGGTTTCACCACACTACCCTTTGATGTGCGGCATCCCACAGGGGGCTATTCTGTCTCCTATGTTATTTAACATCTACATGTTCCCCCTTGCTCAGTTGGCCTGGAGGTTTGGGCTGGATTGTCACCAATATGCTGATGACACCCAGCTATATCTGTTGATGGACAGCCGACCAGATGCCACTCCAGAGGTTCTGGCCAGGATATTAGAAGCCATGGCTGACTGGTTGCAGCAGAGCTGCCTGAAATTAAATCCATCAAAGACTGAGGTTCTGTGCCTGAGTCATGGAGTAGTGGATTTAGGGAACCAGCTCCCAGCCCTCAGCAGGATGAGAATCTTTCCCTCTAACGAAAATGGTGAAATGCTTCAGAATTTTGAAGGGAGTTTCCAAGAAATGATAGATTCTGCATTGGGAATCACTGAGGATTGCTGTATTTGAATATGCTTCATAGATGTCTACATGTACCTTTGAAATGTTGAATCCAGCATGATTTTTAAAAAAGAGTTATTGAAATGGATTTAGAACCAGGGGTTCGTCATGGAAAAATTCCACCTGTAAATTTCTACCTGTATTCAACTTTACGAGTGAATTTCTACCTGTTGTTTATGGAAAATTTGTTCTGAGTACTTTATATGTTTTACTATTATTAAATTCATTGATTATTGGTGTTAAAATTTGGACACATGCATTTTTTTTTCTTGTTTTCATATATTGCTGTGCCACTGCCTTTCATCTTGTATCATTTTTTTAAATCTTGGGCATTTTATAGTCCTATGAGCCATCTTGGTATATTAAATTATTGAACTGCAGAATGTTTTATTTGTATTTTTAATCTGCTGTGAGCCACCCTGAGCCCTGTGTGCAGGGAACAGTAGGATAAAAATCCAGACAATCAATAAATTTGCAAATACATTGCACTGATTGGCTCTAAGCTCTCCCTAAGGCACTTTTGCTATTGGACTGCTGAGTTGCCTCTTCTCCCTCCCTTCTGTTGCCCTGGAAACCAGAGCAAAAGGCGAGAGAGAGCCCCAGAGGAGAGAAGTGAAAGGTAACTTTGTAGCTCTACAAAGTCGTAAAGTTTAAACCTCCAGCCACTGTTTGGTATTGCTAAATAAAGCCTAATAAAAGCCAAATAATTGTGGCTTTTATCAGTATAATCTATATCAGTAGCTGAATACAGATTGGAGTGTAAAATCTTATTTGGCTCGGTTTATACCAAATGTTTTATTTGTGTTTTTAATCTGTTGTGAGCCACCCTGAGCCCTGTGTGCAGGGAAGAGTGCATAATAAGTCTTTTTCTTCCTACCATTTTCTGCTCAAAATACTCCCCTACCCAGCCCAAGTTGCTCTCTTAAACAGGGGAGGAGACAAGATTACTGTATTTTTTATTCTGCAGGGAGAAAGCAGCTTATGGAGGGCAATTTAGACCTGAGAAGCAGAGGAAAGAGTTGAGCATCCCACCCTCCATTGGGTTCCACTTCACATACCTAGTCTAACATGTATGATCTAGTTTGGCTCTTAGGCTAGGATAGATATGTTAATTAATTGTTTTCCCTGTACCTGATCATATTAAATTCCTTATTACTATGCTGAAATCTTATTTACTTCCCCATTTCTTTATGTAGCTGTTGGGTAATGTCATATCAACTGTTTTCTTTCACTTCCCAAATTTTGATTAATGCATGAATGATGATCGATTTTTCATGTTTACTCCAGGAAGATTTGTTAGTGCTGAGGAAAACTGTGAAATCATTTCTAGCTGTCTGCCAACAGTGTCTGTCAAATGTCAATACTCCAGTCAAAGAACAGGTAAAAGACACTTACTTAAATTGCATTCAGCATGTGCAAATTATTTTAAAGCTTTTTAATACCATGTATTATATAAAGCAAATGGTTATTGTATTTTAACTTTATTATGCTACTATACTTTTCTGTTCGTTAAAATTACAGTCTTTCTTTTATAGGTTAGTGGTTGGAATGTTGGCTCTAGAATGTGTTCAAGAGTTCTTTCTTTAGCCCTGACCTGGATAGCCCAGGCAAGCCTGATCTCATCAGATCTGAGAAGCTAAGCAGGGCCGATTCTGGTGGATGGGAGACCTCCAGAGAATACCCGGGGGGGGGGGGCAGAGGCAGGCAATCTAAGCTACCTTTCTGAATGTCCTCCATGCCCAGTAGGAATCGCTAGAGGTCGCTATGATTTCCTGGCACAGGCACACATGCACGCATACACAGACAAAATGCAAAAAAGAAAGAGTTATATCTTTACATTTTGACTGGTTGGCCTTAATCATTTCCCCATCCATAGGGTTCTCTAACAATTTTAGTGGTAATTCTGTTGTTAAATGGTATTTTTGTACGTGTAAGTGACATTATGTTGTCGAAGGCTTTCACGGCCGGAGTTCATTAGTTGCTGTAGATTTTCCGGGATGTGTGGCCGTGGTCTTGGCATTGTAGAACCTGACATTTCGCCAGTAACTGTGACTGGCATCCTCAGAGGTATAATTCTGAAACGTTAGCCCAGGTACTTTCTTTTGCAGTAAATTCATAAAATATCTTGGAGACCTTCCATTTCCCCTATAGCTTTACCTTCATGCAGTGGTACTCATGCAGTGACTGACAAGAGAGCCACACTCAAAATTACCATCAACCAAAAGAGCCTCTTGACTACCACTCCTTATGCACCCCACCAAACACACAATACGACAATACAAGGTGCAACAGTTTAATATTAAATACATAAGTACAGCCTTTTAAGTTACTAGAATATGTAGGGTTTCTAGGGGAGATGCTGTGGCTCAGTGGTAGAGCATCCTCTTGGCACACAGAAGTTCCGAAGTTCTGTCCTTGGTATTTGCAGTTAAAAGGATCAAGTCACAGACCCTGTAGATCCACAGCCAGTCTGAGTAGATAGTACTTGATGGATCAATGGTCTGATTATGTATAAAGCACCTTAATGTGTTCTCTCCACCACTGTTGAGCCTCTGCACTCTTCCCTCACTATCTTCTTGTTTTCTCCCTTGCACAAGAGTCACAGCTTGGGCAAGAGCTAGGTGGCCAGAACCACTCTGCCTCATGCTAGAAAGAGAATGGGGGGGGGGATAAAGGGTACTCAGGCTTCCCACTGTAGACCACTGCTGTGAGCCAATGGCAAAGTTGTGAAAGAGGTGCAGCAGCTTAGGTGAGAGAGCAAAATTGCCAAGGTACCCAGGGGAGAGAAAACTGGCCAGGAAGAAATGGAAATAAAAATACCACCATCCCCTTTGTGATCAGCTTGTTCTTTTCCTGGGTGGTCGGGGTGGTTTTACTTTCTGTTCTCTGCCGCTGCCATCCCAGCAGGTGCTCGGGTGCTGGGATAAGAGTGCAGAGGATGCAGATGGCAGCCCCTTTACTTCAGCCCTGGCATGAGACCCTACTCCAGGGAGACTCACAGTTTACCCATCTTCAGCAGCAGCTGTTACAAGGTGGGGAGCACCTGCCAACCACAAACCTCACTGGGCAATTGCCTTGCCCACCTTCCTGAAACATGGGCTAGAAGCCACATTAGGGAAAAGTGATGAAAAGAGCCACACATGGCATGTCAGAAGGCTCCCAAGCCACTGATTGAATATTATTTCCTTAATGCATCTCATAATATATTTAGTTCATGTGCTATTCAAACATAAAGATGTTTGGCCTGCTGCCAGAAAAAAAAAAATATCCAAAAATCTCCAAAAGTCTTTTGCATTAGGGATCAAACTCATAAGCTCTCAGAAGACTTTGGGGTTATAGTCCTCAAGTAGTCATCATGTATCTCATCCACTGCTGTCTTTTCAGCTAGATTTGAGTCCTGTAGCACCTTAGAGACCAACAGGATTTTTTTCAGATGAAGGGAGCTTTGACACTCTAAAGCATATACCCAGAAAATCTTTTTGGTCTCTAAGGTGCTACTTGGACTCTAATCAGGCTGTTCTACTGCAGATGTCCACTACCCTCTGAAACTGTTGTCTTTGCAATGACAGCAAGTATATGCCATACCTGCTGTGAATGCTTGTTCTTTTTGTCAGAAGAAGCAGTTTAGCACACATTGAAGAACTCTGTAGTAATTTGCTTCTGTATTCCTAAGAGCTTTCTGTGGCCCACTTTAATGAGTATTTGTGTTCTCTTCTATAATAATGGTCAATCAAATGGCTTTGTTTAATTTCTGTCAGGTTATTTATTTGTAATCTCAGATTTAAGCTTTTAAAAATTTTATTTGATTTATATCCCGCCCGCCCTGCCTATGGAATGGCTAAATATATTTTATGTTTCAGGCATTCATGCTCCTCTGTGATCTCTTGATGATCTTTAGCCACCAGCTGATGAGTGGAGGTAGGGAGGGTCTCCAGCCTTTGGTGTTTAATCCAGATTCAGGCCTCCAGTCTGAACTCCTTAGCTTTGTGATGGACCATGTTTTCATTGATCAGGATGATGAGAATCAGAGCATGGGTAAGTACCCATCTTGACATGTGCTTGTTTTATCCAGTTTAAAACAATATTTTTATCTCTCCCATATTCACCTGTCTTCTGCAATGGCTGTATCCCCTGCCCTTCTCTGTGCTACTTCATAGATGAGGGGAAATACAATGTATTAAGCAAGTCGTCTGTTTTGAAGAGTAGATGTGCACAGCACAGGTTCCTTTTCAAAACACATGAAGAGGCAAAACTGTATCTTTTAAAAGTAAAATAAGCAGTGGCTTTAAATTGTGTTACATTTGGGATAAAGAACTTCTTCTTGCATTCAGAGAGACCGCATTCCTTGTAACAACAAACCATGGTTTGTTATAGGAATGAGCTTTAGAAGTCCCATAATTTGCATGTTTCCCTTCCCTTCATTCCTCATGTGATTCAGTAATTCAATACTTCATGGTCTGCAAGAAATCATAGTTTGTTGTTTTATCCAGGTTGAATGAAATGGCAAACTATGGTTGTTCTCTAGGCCACCTCTCAGGATTTCAAATCAAAGTTTAATTCTGGTTTGGAATCCTTCTTTGTAGACAACAAACTAAATCAAAAATACGCTGTGGCTGGTTGTAAATCTGGAAGTCTTCTATTTCCCAGCTGTATATGAAGGGAGGGGAAATCTGAACCAGAGGATCTTCGACGTGGCCTCTGTGCTTCACACCAATGGGATTCAGTGCGCCTGTGCTGGATCGATCGGTATTGTAGCAAGCTCTAACGGATTTTCGTGCCCAGACCTCAGGCATGCGCAGGAACCCCCAACCACACATGCCCAGAGGGGTGGGCGCAGACATCCCAGCAGTTCCTTTCTTTCTGCCGTGCTGGGAACACCTTTCCTTGGTCGGTGAGATTGGTAGCTGTTTTTTCCTCAGAAGCTTTTCGGATTTCACTTCGTCTATTCTATTTTTCCTTCGTTTCTTTGTTTTTTCTTCTTATATCTAAAAAAAAATAGAGGGGGAAGTTTACCTCAGTTTGGCCTTCGCCCCCCCCACCTCTTTTCTTCTTTCCCCCCCTTTTTTTCTTCTCCATTTTGTTTATTTTATGGAGAAAAGGTGGGGCTTTTTCAAACGTTGCACTGGGTGCAGCAGTAAGCTCGCTCCGCCTGACTGCCACACCCTTTGTATTTTTTGTCTGGGCGAGACGCACTGCCCAGAGTCTTCCCAGCACTGTGCCAAGTTTTCCAATCAAACTAGGAAAAATCGAGCAGCGCGTCTCCGAGTAGAGTTACTGGAATCGGCGCTAAACCCCTCTTCCGTCATGGATCCAGACGTGCCGGTGAGACCATTGACATTGACGGTTCCGGCGTCAAAGTCCTCGTCCAACATCGTCCAGTCGGCATCGAAGCATCCGGCACCGACAGCACAGTCTTCGGCGTCCACTCCCATAAAAAAGAAGGAGAAAATGGGTAAAGACCACAAGTCCGCTAAAAAGGGCTCCTGAAGGTGGCGAAGTCTGGAAAAGTTGCAGGTTGTGCTCCGGGTATTGCCCCTAAGGTGCCCCTCATTCCTACGACTGTATCGGCATCGGAGGCTCCGGTTGCCCCACCAATACCAACCATCCAACTGATGGACCCTCCTATAAACCAACTAGACCATGATACGCTGGCGGACATGCGTCCTTTCTCCAACATCGACAATGTGGAAATCCTCAGCCCTCCCTCGGGCAGGGATGGTTCTCCCTCTGCTCAGTCATTGGCGTCACCACTTTCTGAGTTCTGTACCGATATCAGTGCAAGTCGGCATCAACAGATCCTGTTCGACACCCAACGTCCCCCCCCCCCCCGTCCTTTTGCCGAAGATCGGCCTTTCGATATCGACATGCAGGCTGATGGGCTGCTCCCGGAGACGAGAAGCTTCACTATCTCCCAGGCATTCCCGCTCCAGGAGTAGATCGCCATGGGTTTTTTTGCCCCCACCACCTCCTGCTCTCTCTCGTGGGATCACCGTCAGATGCGCTATCTCTATGGGGCTTATCCGTCGGCATCCATGCCCTGGCTCACGCCAGCAGCTTATTCGAATTGGGATCGTTATTCTACGCATAGATTGCGTCCCCCCCGCAGATTGAGACCAACACCCTCTGTGTCTCTTTCTCGTCCTCCCGACCGTCCTTCGGAAGACCTTCCTAGACATCGACCGGATCAATATCGACCGGCTAGTCCCCCTATTCCAACTCTGTCGATCCCGGAGCCAACCGGTCAAGTGGAAGCCACTCCTGTTCAATTACCAGACCCCGATTCGTCTGATTCTACAGATGAGGATTCTGACACAGGGGTTTCGGATATCCACAGCTCGCCTGACCAGCCATCTCCTAAATAGGCAGTGGCCGATGACCAACCCATATTTCCATCAGAAAACCTAACGTCTTATGGAGACCTCATTAAAAGAATGGCCCACTCCCTTGGCCTTTCCATCGTACAGCCTCAACCACTGGTTACAGATGCTGTATTCGATGTTGTACAATTAGATACATCGACAGCTATAGCGTTGCCCATGTCTACGGTTCTGTTGCAGGTGACTAAAACGCCGTGGGATAAACCTTAATCAGCTCCAGTGTCCACGTGCTGCATGGACCACATGTACAGAGTCCAGGAAGCAGGAACAGAATTCTTATTTACCCAGCCTCAACCAAACTCAATGGTAGTTACTTCCTCATCCAAGTCAAAGAGAACCCATTCTGCCCCTTCAGACAGGGAGAGCAGAAAGCTAGATGCATTCGGCCAACAGTTCTGCTCTACAGGAGCGCTCGGTGTGACTTAGCATGTATGAGTAGATATCAATATACCTTATGGGAAAGGCTTTCTGAGATGTTAGCAACCCTTCCTGATGATAAGCATCAGTTAGCCCACATCACCCAAAAGTAGGGCATGGGGCTGTAAAACAACAAATTAATACTTCTAAGCATGCGTTACACACCTGGTCAAGGACAATGGCTTCAGCCATCGCTTTCCGAAGACACTCCTGGCTACGCAACACCAATTTGCAGTCAGACACCAGGGCATACGTAGATCTCCCCTTCGATGGCCTTGGTCTTTTCAATAGCATCACAGACACCATATTGCAAGATATGGACAAAAGCATAAAGGCCTCTCGTACTCTGGGTGTTTCTTCCTCCATGAGACAACAATACTGGCCTCGTCCTTGGTCCGGACCCTGGCAAAAATGTACACCAAACCGTCAGTCTCCTGAGCGGCAGTGGAGACCATGTACATCCTCTGAAGGCCAGAAGCCCACATTTCAGAAACCTAGATTCGGATCGGGACAACAACCCCCTGCCATAAGCAGGCTAAGTCCGCAAAACAGGGTTTTTGACTTCCATGTTCTCCAGTCACATCCCACCCATCTAGCCCCTTTCCTCCAAACTTGGCACCTCATCACCACAGACAAATGGGTGCTGTCCATCTTGACCCATGGTTACTGTATAGATTTTATACAGAACCCCATTACTACAGTCATCATTATTACACCCCCTTCATCAGCTCTTCTGGAGGAGGTGTCTGCCTTCTGCGCAAGGGAGCCATCGAGCCGGTGCCACTTCACCAACACAGCAGGGGATTCTATTCCCATTATTTCACAGTTCCAAAGCGGGATGGAGGCGTTCAACCAATCTTAGATCTAAGGGCGCTCAACTGCTTTGTGCGCTACCGCCATTTCCTCATGGTCTCCTTGCAGCAGATCCTGCCACTTCTCCAAAAGAACGTCTGGATGGCCACTCTGGATCTCCAGGATGCATTCTTCCACCTCACCATCCACCCGTCCCACCGCCAATATCTACAGACAATACTACTGCCCTCAGCTATATAAACAGGCAGGGGGGCACTGTCTCTCAATGCCTCTGCAAACTGGCCATTCAGTTGTAGGACTTCTGCATCACCCACAACATCTTCCTCATCGCCACGCATATACCAGGGCACATGAATGTGCAGGCAGACCAACTGAGTTGAAGAGGACTTCATCTGCACGAATGGGAAATGAATTCGACCTACCTCCTCCCACTCTTCCGCAAGTGGGGTTTCCCCCAAATAGATGTTTTCACCACCAGGGTGAACAAAAAGTGTCCTATGTTCTGCAGCCGAGGAGGCAGGGACCCGCAGTCTTTTGGGGGACGGTCTCTATCCGTGGTCCAGAAATTTTCTCTTCCTCTTCCCCCGCTGCCTCTGCTTCCAAGAGTGGTACGCAAAATCATCAGCGACAGAGCGGATTGCATCCTCATATCCCCATGGTGGCTGAGGCAGCCATGGTTCTCAACCATACTGGACCTGTCAGCAGGGGTGTACCACCAATTCCCGCCGGTTCAAGATCATCAACTCATCCAAACATGCTCTGGATACATTTTCTAAAACAATGTCATCTGCAGTTGCCCTTCATAGGCATTCCGGGCTGAGGACCACTGCACTCCCGGCTGATACCAGGGCGTACATAGAGGACTTGCCTTTCGATGGCCAGGGTCTCTTCCATGTGTCCACTGATTCGATGCTCCAGGAAATGGATAAGAGCATTAAGGCCTCGAGGTCGCTGAGGGTCTCTGCCCCCTCCAAGCCTTTTCGTCCTTGCTCGTGGTCTCATTACAGCTCCAGATGCCAGTATGCTAAGCCGTCAGCGGATGAGGGCTACAGGCCACGTCGGTCTCCGTCTGGGAATAGGCAACAATACCAGGCCAGACAGAGATACAGTTCTGGACAGCAGAGTCTCAGACCGAAACAACCCAAACCCGGCAAGCAGGGCCTTTGACTTCTGCCTGTCTACCTCTTCCGACCCTACTCGCCTCCATCCATATTTACAGGCCTGGGCCACCATTACATCGGACCAATGGGTCCTTTCCATCTTAGCCAAGGACTATTCCATCGAATTCATGGAACTCCCACCTCTTCCTGTAGTCGTCATCACTCCCCCATCATCATGCCTCCTCGAGGAGGTCACCACACTTCTGTCAAAACCCTTCTGTCAAAACCCGTGCCTCTAGATCACCAGGGACTCGGTTTTTATTCCCGATACTTCATGGTTCCCAAGAGGGACAATGGGCAGAGGCCGATCTTAGACCTTCGCAGCCTCAACACCTATATACAGTACCAAAAATTCAAAATTACATCCCTTCCCGTCATTCGCCCCCTCCTATCCCAGGGATGCTGGATGGCCACCCTCGACCTCAAGGATGCCTATTTCCATTTAACTATCCACCCCGCCAATCGCAAATACCTCCGTTTCACGATAGGAAGCAGCCACTACCAATACAGGAGTCTACCGTTTGGCCTCAGCACGGCCCGAGGGTCTTTACCAAGACTATGGTTGTTGTAGCGCATCTCCTGGGACTCAGAGTCAACCACAAAAAGTCTCACCTAGTCCCTTCTCGAAGAGTGCAGTTCATAGGGGCGATACTCGACTCCAAAGAGGGTGCAGCTTTCCTGCCTCGGGACAGGGCACGAACCCTAACCATTTTGGCAGAACAGGTTCAACTACAAGGAACCTCCTCCGCCTTTCAGATTCAACAGCTCCTGGGCCTAATGGTGGCGACAACTGCAGTCCTCCGTTTTGCAAAGTTGTGAATGCGACCACTCCAGCTTTGGTTCATCCGTCACTTCAAGCCCCTACGGATGTCCCAATCAGTTTGTTTTCCCCCACCACAAGAGGTACGCGACTCCCTCGTGTAGTGGACGCACTCACACAACCTGACGGAGGGGATCCCGTTCCGTCCTCTCACTCCTACTCTCACCCTCACACCCGAAGCTTTGCTGTGGGGCTGGGGAGCCCACCTCAACGGCCTCTCTGTAGGTCACAGGTGGGATGCTGTGTCCTCAAGGAGACACATAAACTTTCTGAAACTGTTGGCAATAAAATTGGCCCTTCAATGTTTCTAGCCTCTGCTCTCAGGACAATGCATAACTGTCTTAACCAACAATACGAAGGCTCTCAGTTACGTCAACAGGCAGGGTGGGATGGTCTCCTGCAGTCTCTGCTTCCTGGCTCTGGACCTTTGGGCCTAGTGCATGCCTCTGCACATCTTTCCCATTGCCTCACACATCGCTGGCAAGGCCAATGTGCATGCAGACCTGCTCAGCAGGGGTCTCTCCCAGCATCATGATTGGGAACTGAACTTGGCCTACCTACGTCCCGTGTTTCGAAAGTGGGGCATGCCTCATGTCAACGTCTTTGCCACCAGGCACAACTTGAAGTGCAACTTGTTTTGCTGCAGGGCGGCTCAGGATCCCAGGGCTTTGGGAGATGGACTCCTGTACCCATGGTACGACAAATTCCTATATATGTTCCCGCCTCTGCCTCTGATGCTGAGAATGGTCCAAAGACTCATGAGGGTCCGTACGAGGTGCATCCTGATCACCCTCTGGTGGCTGAAGCAACCTTGGTTCACCAATCTCCTCTCACTAGCCAAGGTGTGCCTTCCCCTCCCACAGGTGCCAGATCTGCTTCTGGCAGAGGGAGGAGCTCTCCTATTCCACGAGGTACACAAGCTCAAGTTAACAGCTTATCTCGTGGACACTTAACTTTCTCTGACAGAATCAACACTGTGCTACTCAATGCCAGGAAAGATTCTACGCGACGTTCCTACAGTGGGAAGTGGGCCCGCTTCTTAGCCTCCATACAGCACTCTGACGTCCCCCCGGCTTCTGTCAGGATTGACCAGGTCTTAGACTTTCTGCTCTCACTGGCAGAGAAGGGGCTCTCGCACTCCTCACTCAGAGCATATTTGTCAGCAATTTCGGCCTACCATCCAGGTTTTTCGATGGTTTTTCCGTTTTCTCTCACCCAGTCTCTAAGAGATTTATGAAGGGTCTCCTCCACCTGTATCCACCAATCCGCTGGTGCTCCACCTGTATCCACCAATCTACCACTGGTGCTCCACAATGTCATGGGGCGGCCCTTTGAGCCCAAGGCGACTTGCAAGTGAGAGCATGCAGCATGGAAGACTGCCTTTCTCATCGCCATCACCTCGGCCAGAAGGGTGGGGGAACTCATGGCCAGTGTTCCCTCTAAGCTGAGTTAGTGTGAGCTAGCTCACAGTTTTTTAGCCTCCGGCTCACACATTTTTGTCTTAGCTCAGGAAGGATGGCTCCAGAGCAAACTAATGTCTGCAGTAGCCAAATGGTTTGCTCACAACTTTAATGTCAGTAGCTCACCAAGTAGAATTTTTGCTCACGGGACTCCACAGCTTAGAGGGAACATTCGCGACTCTATGACATGACCCACCTTTCCTTGTATTCCTGCCGGACGGTGTGAGACTGGTCCCTGACATATCTTTTCTGCCTAAGGTGGTCTCCGAATTTCACCTAGCCTTGGAGATCTTATTGCCTAGCTTCTTCCCTAAACCGGAAGATGGACAACAGCAACTCCTCCACACTCTAGTTGTTAGGAGGGCACTGCTCTTTTACCTAAATAGGACACGTCAGAGTAGGAGGGACAATCGTTTATTTGTCTCCTACTCCAGTCACTCCGCAGGGCTAAAAATTTCAGCACAACGTCTCTCCAAATGGATTGTTGAGACTATTAAGCTGTGCTACCAGTTGGCTAAGCGCCCATTGCCCTTGCCTGTGCGAACGCACTCTACAAGATCCATGGCTGCATCCACAGCTTTCTTGAAGAGTACTTCCCTGTCGGCGATCTGTGGGGCTGCGACATGGTCTACTCCGAACACCTTCATCAAGCACTACGCTGTTGATGTTTGTGAACGCCACAGAGTGGACCTGGGTCGTCTAGTCCTTTCATCGGCAGAGCATTGAATTGCGACAGCTCCCACCTCCAGGTGAGCTACTGCTTTTCAATCTTCCATGGGTGTGATGCACAGAGACCACGAAGAAGATAAACAGGTTGCTTACCTGTAACTGATGATCTTCGAGTGGTCATCTGTGCAGTCACACCATCCGTTCGTCCTTCCCCACTGCTGTCACTTCAGTATTTTTCTCTGGTTATTGACATGACAGCGGTCAGAAGGAATTGGCAGGATGTCCGTGCCCCTCCTCCTTGGGCATGCGTAGTGGGGTTCCCGTGCATGCCTGGAGGAGAGGCGCGAAGATCCTTTTGTGAGCTTTGCATACCAGCAATTCGGATCAGCACAGGCACATAATCCCATGGGTGTGACTGCACAGTTGACCACTTGAAGATCATCAGTTACAGGTAAGCAACCTGTTTTTCTGTGAACTGCAATGAGAGTTTAACTTACATCAAATTCAAACTGATCAGTGCTCATAAGTTGCTTTTTCAGTTTTAAGTAGTCATTGAATTTCACCTGAGACTATAGCTGAGCTATCCACTCACATTATATACATTTAGTAATGTCAGGTGATTGAATAGGTTTGATATCAACTTGAAAGACAAATATTTTATTATTTCCTTTTGTTTAGAGGGAGATGAAGAGGATGAAGCTAATAAAATTGAAGCTCTGCACAAGAGAAGAAACCTTTTGGCGGCCTTTAGTAAGCTTATAATTTATGACATTGTAGATATGCATGCAGCAGCTGATATCTTCAAACATTATATGAAGGTAAGTTGTAGATTTAGCTCTTTTCTCCTGAAAATGTCAGTATTGCATGTTTGAAAAAAGTAATGTCGATTGCCTTTCTTCCACTGCATGATTCTGCCATATTGAGCATTGTTGGGTACATTGTTGTGTTGAATCCCACAGTTTTTAAATTTATAAAATTGATGAAGGGCTATGAGAGAATCACTCTCTGCTTGAAAGAGAATGGACTCCATCATGCAAATTCTGCCTTGTTGTTTTAAAATAAACTGATGAGCTCAGCTGTATTTGAGCTCAATACCGCTTTAATGAAACAGAGCTTTTTCAGCTGAGCAGGAACATAGATTCTTGAAGATGACCAGAGTCCAAAATAAGGTTCAATTTTCTCAGAAAATCATGATAAAAAGTTAGATACTACAACTGAACTCTTTTTTTTTTTTAGTACTACAATGACTACGGAGATATAATTAAGGAGACGTTGAGTAAAACAAGACAAATTGATAAAATTCAGTGTGCAAAAACCCTCATCCTCAGTTTGCAGCAGGTAAGAATGTTAAAGCAAACCTGATGTTCTGAGGTAAAATAAATTTCCCCTTAGTGTCTGTTGGGGGAAACCATGGTTGCAAATCTCCAGGTGAGGGCTGAAGATCACTCAGAATTACAACTGCTTTCCAGATGGCAGAGATCAGTTCCCCTGGAGAAAATGGTGGACTTTGTGTCCTTATATCCTGCTGAGATGGCCCCTGTATGACAGCCAATGTGACATAGCAGTCAGGGCTTCAGCTATTAAAACTGATGTCCAGATGACCCAGATCAGTTCTCTTGGAAACAATGGCTGCTTTGGGCAGTAGATTCTATGGCATTATACCCTGCTGAGGTCCCTCCCCACCCAAAATCCTGCCCTCCCCAGGCTCTACCCCTCAAATCTACAGGTATTTCCCAACCCAGAGTTGGCAACCGTGTAATTGGCTCTGGAACCTCTTTCCAGACCCTTGGAACCCAGAAAACGTGGTACAGGAGGAGGTGCTTTTCTACCTTAGCTGTGACTGCATAGCCCCAAATTAACATAAGCCAACCTCCAGGCAGCACCTGGAGATCTCCAGCTATTAAAACTGATGTCCAGATGACCAAGATCAGTTCTCCTGGAGACAATGGCTGCTTTGGGCAGTGGATTCTATGGCATTATACCCTACTGAGGTCCCTCTCCACCCCAAATCCTGCCCTCCCCAGGCTCTACCCCTCAAATCTACAGGTATTTCCCAACCCAGAGTTGGCAACCATGTAATAAGCTATGGAACTACTTTCCAGACCCTTGGAACCCAGAAAACATGGCACAGGAGGAGGTGCTTTTATAACTTAACTGCCACTGCATAACACCCCCCTCCCCCTCAAAAAATAAGTCAGAGGTGGAGAGAACCATATCTGTTACCATGAGGCTGTCCTCCCATTCTACCCACTTGGGACAGCAAAATGACTTGAGACAGCCCTGCCTTATAGCTAAGCAGAAGGAAAGAAACATGGCTTGCCTCCCTCCATTTTCCGCTTTCCTCTGCCGCCCCACCAGCCACAGTCGAGACACTCATCTGGAGCTTCCTTCTAGATCCCGTTGTATTTCTTCCCACAACGGCCATTACTCCAAGTAAATAAATAAACAAAAATGTACAAATGGCAGCTGAAATAAAAACAGCTATGTTATGGTGCTGAAAAACATCCAAAGATGGTACCATCCAAAGAGGGGAAGGATATTCCATAGGCTCATGGGGGCATCCCTGAAATGGCCCTGCCTTTTCATGGCCCATCTGCCTTACTTCGGAATGTGGGGTACACAAAGAAGGGCCTGAGAATGATGTCCAGTGTTGAAGAAAGACTAGCAAAAATGATTCTTTTTCTGTAGCTCAATGTGATGTGGTTGATTTATCAAAGCTATTTCACTTTTCTTTTGTATTTGAAATAACAAGCTCTTATTAGATTGTTGTCATTAGTTCATAATGTATGGCAAATTCATTTAAGCTTATGTGGCATCAGGCATCAGTGCAAACATCCAGAACTTCCATTAGGCACCACCTATGTTTTAACAATTAAATTCTTTCTTTAGCTGTTTAATGAGCTTGTTCAAGAACAAGGTCCCAACCTGGACAGAACATCTGCGCACGTCAGTGGTATTAAGGAGTTGGCCCGAAGGTTTGCTCTCACTTTTGGCCTCGATCAAATCAAAACAAGAGAAGCTGTGGCTACATTACACAAGTGAGTGAAAGATGCTGTAAAGGGGTCTTTGTTTATGTGTGTAACTTTTTAATAGAAAGCTATTTCAGCTTGTCAAGGAAGAATTGAAATTCATGATTCTCCTTACAAATTACATGTGTATGTATATTGGAAATATGCTGATATTTCCTAATGGAAATGTTGTTAAGGAATAAATAATTATGTTTTTTTATATGAGCTGAATGGTTTAAAATTGGCTCTTTGAATGCTGGTCTGACTCATCAAGGAGATAAATATTAATGGTTAGTCATAAGTTACTAAAAGGCAGGTCACATTTTGTATATTGTAATTGGCTTCAAGTTTCTTATGGAGAGATGACTCATAAATACACATTTTCTCTTTATGCAATGGTCTAGATGACTTTGGGTATAAAAATGTATTATATGTTATGCATTCATTCTTTTCCTCTAAAGTGTTTAAACCTAACAAGCTTTGAGCAACATTAAAAATGCGTGAGCTAGTGAATTGATTTCATGATAAAAATTGCAAAGGGCAAAGCAGGAGCTGCATGAAATTCAGAATCTTAATTTATGTCTGTGTGAATACAAAATCCCTAATCCAAGTTCTGGTTCTGGACTGCTAAAGTATTGACCTTAGTCTTTGAGTTAAGAAATATGCTTTGCACTTGTGGAGTTAAATTGAAGTTTGACTAATAAAAAGATACTTCATACAAGAATAATAGTTTCCCAGCTATGTAAATGCTGATGTGCTTTTGCATTTTATTACAGGGATGGCATAGAATTTGCCTTTAAATATCAGAATCAAAAAGGTCAAGAATATCCACCGCCTAACCTTGCTTTCTTGGAAGTGCTTAGTGAATTTTCCTCTAAACTTCTGCGGCAGGACAAAAAGACCGTGTAAGTGATACTTTGTGCACTTGTATATAGGCTGTGTTGTGTATTGTTTGGAAGTTCATTAAATGACAATTTCTGTAAATGGATTTGGAATCATGGGGGGGTTAAAATTCTGAATGCATAAAATCAGTGCTTTCTTAGTGCCCTGTCTCACCCTATCCCCAGGCAGACAATTGGTGTCCACCTCTACATAGAGTAGGCAGGAGTAAGCCATCAATTATATGTTTTTAATCTAAAGAACAGGTTAGTTAGTATAAAATGGTTTAATTTACTGAAGATCTCTCACAAGCATACAGCAATTCAAACACACTCACAATTACACAGATCTAGGAAAATTAGATAGAAAGGGGTAGTCACAATCGCATTAGCAGGATGTTACGTTGAGGGGTAATACTTTAACTGTTCTCCGCGGGATGAAACGATCCTTGGAAAAAATGTGGAAGACTATGGGGTATTAGGGTTGTGTCCTGAACCAGCAGAAACACGTGGAGACTCTGGCAGTGCTAACCAAGAGTTGTGGAAGTGGGCTGGGTGTAGAGGTCAGGAGAGAGAGAGCACATGGCTGGCTGCCCCTTTTTATGAGGTGGCATGGGGGGTGAGCTAGGCTGGCCACATCCCCTGGCACACCTTCTGCTGATCTGTCCCCAAAGCAGGCTGATTGGAACTGGGTTCAGGGGGAAGGGACTAAGGGAGTGGACAATATTAAGATCTAGTAACTCCGGCCGGGACAGTGGCACCTTGAGGGATGGTGACTCATGTGGCCAGAGTCATTGTTATTCCATGTGGTCCCTTGATTAATTTATGGCTGCAGCTTCAGCTAGGCGAGGCGGGGTGTGATAGGGGAATGGTGCCTGCGTGTGTAAGGAAGAAGCTCCACATGGCGTTTGGATTCCATGTCTCTGGTCTTCTGCCTTGGTTTTCAGTGCTACATGTGGCTAGGGAGCTAGCCCATCTTACAGCAGGTAAGAGGGCAGGTACCCTTAAGAACCATTGGCACATCATCTCAAAGGAAGGCTTCCTTCTTCTGGGTGTATGTCTGTAGTTGGCATCATTTTTGGGTCACCACACAGTTCAGTCCCTTTTGCACGCTACTTGCACAGTCCAGTTTTTATCACTTATGAACTATAAGCACCTTGCAGGGCAACAATGGAGGAGAACTCTTGTTTAGCATATGAGCAGGCAGGATTCAGGGAGGGCCGGTCTACTTTGGATCATTGTGTGGTATTGGACCACTTGATCTCAAAGTACTCTTCTAATTCAAAGGTATCTCTTCGTGCCGCCTTCCTAGACCTGAAATCAGCTTTTGACTCAGTTGCCAGAGATATATTACGGAAGAAGTTATTATTAGTAGTAGTGGTAGTGGTAGTAGTAGTATTAATTCAATTTGTACCCCACCCTCCCCGTGAGCAGGGAGACAAGTATTGACAGACAATTAGTCTTAATCCAGGCTCTCTACAATCAGACCTATGTACAGGTCAGGTGTTCCCCACAGGGGCACCTCACAGATCATATTAGGATCAGTAGAGGGATTAAACAAGGATGCCTTTTAGCGCCTCTTTTTAATTTCTACATCAATGATCTGGTAACATATCTAAATAAACCTGAGTTCCATCCCCCTAAATTAAGCAACAAACATATTGGGGCCCTTTTATATGCAGATGATGCTATCTTACTTTCAAGGAACACAGTAGGCCTGAGGAAAGCTATGAACACTTTCACCCACTACTGTTGTGAAAATAAACTAGAGGTCAACTACTCCAAAACAAAAATAATGGCTTTTACAAAAAATAAATCACCAAAAATTTATTGTTGGTCTCTAAACGCGATTCCAATTGAACAAGTTTCATATTTTAAGTACCTGGGAGTTTTATTCCAGGCAAATGGTTCAAGATCGGTGAATATAAATATTGTTGTCTCAGAGACTAAAAGGAGCTCTGGGGCGATTCAAAAATTTTACTGGAACAAAGGGGGTAAATGTCCTGTGGCTGCCCTTAGATTATTTAAGGCTAAATCTTTGTCTCATCTTACATACAGAGCCCCATTAACATTACAGCAAACCTTAAGAAAGCAGACACATTTCAGTCAAAAATTTTGTGAGCAATTCTACAAGCCCTAATGGGGTTCCAAATGCCCTTGTTTGCATAGACACAGGCATGATTACAGTTGAGGCAAAGCTATGGATTGCAGTGACAACGTTTTGGTTAAAACTAACTTTTCTACCCAATGAATTGACAAGTTTAATAATGTCAGACCATTTTGAACCCCCTTGGTTTAAGGTGCTAGATAAGAAATTAGCCTCTTACGGTTTGTCTAAACAATATTTGTGTTCTATGGGTTATGAAAAGGCCAAGTTCACAGCAAGACAGAGAATACTGGATATCTCTAGACAACATGATCTAAATAGAGAAATGGCGAGACCTTCTGGCTCCAGATAAAAGAGTAATCCCTATGCCTTACCTCTCCCGTTTATTAAATCAGGACTACAGAAGAATGGTTACATTAATGTGTTTGGTTGTATTCCCAGCTGCAGTCCTGGAAGGAAAATTTAACAAGACTCCTTACAAAGAAAGGCTATGCCCCTGTTGTGTGGATGGTATTGAGTGTGTAGAACATGTAATTTTTTATTGTAAAGCATATAATAACATCCGCGAGTCTCTTCCTTTCTCTAAGACACTCCCCCTGTCTCACAGGCAAAGAATCTGCCTTTTAAGAAATTTGCTCTCGGATAGCCGGGCAGAAGTTACTTATCAGGTGGCTAGGTTTGGATGGCTTGCCCAAAGAATTAGAAAATCTATAGTAGCTTGAAAAGAGGAGAGGTAGGTGGGGCTGAGAGAGCTCTGACAGAAACTGCCCTTTCAAGGACAGTTCTGACAGAACTATGGCTTGCCCAAGGTCATCCAGCAGCTGCAAGTGGAGAAGTGGGGAATTAAACCCGGTTCTCCCAGATTGGAGTCCGCACACTTAACCACTACACCAGACTGGCTCTCTAGAAGCCCTGGTTGCCCAGGGAGTGTTTAGCGAGCCACCTTTGTTGGTGTCCTCTTAGATTCTTCACTTGCAAGGGCCTTTCTTCCTGTAGATAGAGCAGCTAGCATCAGGGCTTTAATTAGACAAGTCACTAAGCAGTATTTTCAATCAGCATTGTTTTACCAAAAATTACTAGTACTCATGGTGTCCACTACAGCCACAGTACTGCATGTGTGCCTTAGAATGAGCCCATTACAGAATTGGTTTTTGAGGAAATTTGGCCCCACTGTGCATTCTCAAAATCAAACCTTTTCTGCACCACACTATATAATTTGGCAGCTAGTTTCATGGTTGCATGAGGAGATCCTCCTAGAAGGGGTCCCTTTCTGTCAACAGCCACCACAGGTGACCATTACTACTGATACCTCCATGGAGAGCCGGGGCGCCCATTGTGGCTCCCTTTCCGTTCAGGACAAGTGGTTATCCTCAGAGAAGAGGTTGCACATTACAGTTTTGGAATCACATGCCATCATTACACCCTCAACTCTTGCAGTGCTAGTCAGAGGACAGATTATCCAAGTACAGACAGACAACAGAACTGCAATATGTTATATCAACCAACAAGGTGGCACAGTATGTATTTCCTTTTGCAGAGTGACTGTGGCCATGTGGGAAACGGCGGTTGTACTAGGGATTTCGTTACATGTTATACATATTGTGGGCACAAATAGCACATGGGCTGATGTCCTTAGCAAGGATGGGTTGCTCAGATCCCAAGCGGTCCATTGCCGTGGAACACCTACTCCCCTTCTTTACCCAATGGGGTTTCACCTCTGTGGATTTGTTTGCTACCAGACATAGTACCAAATCCCAGATCTTCTGTTCCAGGGCTGGGATGCTGTTCCATAGGGGATGTTTTACAGTTCCAGAGGATGAATGCTCTGTTTTATGGCCTTCCCCCCATAACAAAGATCCTCACCAAGACCCAGGAGACCTAGTGTGTACTTGTGACCCCTTTCTGGCCAAGGCAGACTTGGTTGCAGATCCTGATGTTGATGTCCAAAGGGATATACATAAATTTTATCAACAACTGTAGATTTACTGCACAAGGGTTTGATGCTACAGCATGAGCTGCACAGGTCCCACCTAAGAGCCTAGCTATTAAACCCACCTATGTAGAGTTTTCAAAACAAGTTTCCAGGGTCATCATTAACTCAAGAAAACCCTCAACTAGTTTATCCTCTGCTAGAAAATGGAAACATTTCCCCTTGTGGGCTAATTCCCAATGGATAACTTTGGTTGTTGACTATCTCTTGTCCCTAAAAACTTTAGACCTCTCTGTATCAGGGGTCATTTAGTAGAAAAAGAGCTAGGGGGACTCATTAGCATATGCCACACCCCCTGACATCACCGGAAGTGTGTCCTCCCCACAGCCGGCGGCGACCTCCAGCGGGCACCAGCAGGGAGCTCCAGGCCCCGCCCTCCCGCACCTCACCCGGGGGGATGGCGTCCCCCCGCGTCCCCCCCCCCAAATGACCCCTGCTCTGTATCATCCATCAGGATTCAGTTGCTTCACTCTTACCCATTTAACCGCAGCAGTCAGGCAGTGGCTAAAGATCTTTACTGAATCACCAGAATATTTGAATAAAGCCATGTAGATCTCAGTCCAGTGGAAACCTACTGAGTTCAGTCCTATACTGCCTTGTTCACATATTTGCGATTGCCCAGGCTAGAGCGAAACACTGTCCTTGCTCAGTCTTTTAAAGTTTTACTGCATTTATCACTTTCAGAGTTATTTTCTTTGGTTATATTTGTTTGAATTTACGATTCCGAGTTGTCACAAGATAGCCAATTATTGGAAATAGCTATTGATTTTCTTATAAATTAGTTACTTCATATCTGTGGAAGTGAAGGTTTGTGCATATTTGGTAGTGGTTATATATAAATATTTTATGCTATAAATTTCTTTCACCCTTATTTTTTCATTAGTAAGAATGTGTAAAAATATTCTTTGCTGTATATTTATTTTATAGCTA